CACTGGTAGGAGTTCCACGTCACTGTTTACATTCCTATCATCACCCACAAGCTTGCCAGTGCCTTTTTGTGAGAAACCAACACCACAAATTTTTGACCTGTCTGACCCAGAGTATATCTGTGGAGGTTTTAAAACCTGTGTTTACACACGAAAGTGCATACTCTGTGTAGAACATCACCTTAGCAACTATCATGTAATCTAATCCTGGAGGAGAGCAAATAATGACTGTTTATTCTTCCTCAAGCCACTCGCAGTTTGCGAAGTCCAAATGGAAAGCGCTCACAAGCCGTGCCAACCCTGAGTAGGTAGCCTGGCAGGGGTGACGACTTATTCAAATATTGCTCAAATTTAAGGAGAACCTCGGAGCATTGTAACACATTTCCTTTACACAAGAGAACTTTACACTGTATAAAGTCCACAACAATTACTTTATATAATTCAGCTGGGAATTTGAATGTTTATGAGAAATATGGCGTCGATGTGGGCTTTAGTGTTCGTGTTAATTCCTATCTAAAAACCTAGCACCTATTCTGTAGAGCACACTGAAAGGGTAAAGCCGGGAGAACATACTACATGGGAGGCCTGTTCAGATGTCCCAGTTCTGGACAATACTGACAGGGCTCAGAGACTTGGAAGGGAAACCCAGAATATTCCCTGAATACTAAATAAATTATTTCCAAAGACCTCTTCAGAAATAATTGAACACAATATTAGGACAAACCATGGTCTGATATCAAGAATTAATCAACAAGAGAAAGAACAAATTCAGCCAGAGTAAGCAAACTGACGTGATTTGAAATTCAGACAACTCCATTTGAGAAGGAAAATAAAGAAAACAGACCTTAATTCAGGTCCAATCGCCCTGTCCAACTTTCACTTTTGATTTACACATTGAGAGCACTTCAGTTGGAAAAGAACAAGGGCTCAGCAAAGAGATGGAAATGCCGCAAGGACACTGGGAGGAATGGTCAGCTAGGGGTCTTCTGTACCAGCCATGGGCACTTTGAAGTCCTAGAGAACCTACAAACATACTAGTTCTGACCAGAGCTCAGCCTCGGAATCCTTACGGCGCCTTGCTGACACTTCTAGAGGAACCGATCCAATTATGCTGCACCAGGTTTTGCCAGATGAACAACAGCTTCCACAGTAAGATCACATACGCTGTGCAGAGTTGGCCGAGGTTCCTGGAGCTTTTATTAAGTATTTCAGATAGCCCAGAAATAACTTTCAGTTGCCCACGGTCACTAGTAGCACGGCGCCCCTTCTAAGCTACAAGAGGTGAAAAGGCCCACGGGCATACAGCCTTGTCTGGAGAAAGTTCTCCGGGGTAACAATAAAGGCAATGCGTCAGCGAAGGAGTTTCAAGGTGAGAATGGGAAAACCTTTCGCTTCCATTGTTAAGTTTATTTTGAGTGGTTTCAGAGCAAACAATTCATTGCTGAAATAATTACAAATATCACTATCGTCTTTTCCCGTGAAGAGATATTGAAGCCATGAACACATGAGCAAATGCCCTTCTCCTTAAGACAGGATCCTCCATGCTTCTCACAGGGGACGAGCAACTGTCCTCCGAAAGCCCCCCTGCCCTGGCCTCCAGCCTATCACAAACCATGCTAAGGGAACTCCAAAAAGAAGACATCTGGAGAAGAGCCTCATGAGCCTGCAGACAGTTTTAAGAGATTTTCTCACCTCTCAGTTCCAGTCACAAAATGCATAGTATTACCTACGACAGTAAAACATTTTCAAATATGGGAACATCCACGAGTAGAAAAACTACTGTACCTGCTGTCCCTTGCTCCATAACACTCTTTAGCCCTTTATTCTGCTTTATATGCTTACAGAACTTTTTATCGCTTAATGTATTAGATGTTTTTTATGTCTGTTTCTTGTCACAGCAAAGACTTTGTTTTATTCACACTGAGCTCAACCTTTAAAACCTAGATGATGCAAGATACATACCAGTTACTCAATACACTGCCTCCAAATAAATGAATATATGAAATGTATATTCTCATTCCAATTTAATAAGAAGAAAAAAATGAAAACCTGAGGCTCGGGGAGGTTAAATAGCCTACTCGGGGATGTACAGTGATGTGGCAAAGCCACTTGCTTTTCCCCAAGTGTGACAACTTTAGCTACTGGGAGAAAAAAACGCTTTCGGCAGAATTTGTGCTGTATTGGGGAGAACACATCGTTTAGATATCTAATATTCACTACATATTTTATCCCCATGGAGTATTTCCTAGCCCACGTAATCTGTGTTATACAGAAGGGATGCCTCAGCAGGGATAAACTGCAGGAAAATTCTAGAACTGATTTTTAAACCTTGATTTTCTGTGCACTGGGAAGTGAACAGTGATGGTTGGCTGTCAACACAGGTTCAATACCAAAAGCAAACAAGCTCACCATTTGTCTGGGGAGGATGGCCCAGTGGTGCTGCTGATGACAGCCAAGGCAAACACTTGGTCGGCACTGACTATGGGCTCAGTGCTGTTCTGGGTATACCACTTGTCACTAACTCATTTCATTCTCACAGGAACCCACACATTGTTATTATCCCATTTTACTGATAAGGAAACTTACGGGCACAGAGAAGTTAACTTGCTCAGAGACAAACAGCTAATAGTATATAGTTGAGCCAAGACTCAAACCCAGGCGGGCTAGCTAGTCTGTGCTTAAATACTGTATTCTCCTTTCCTCAGGAAAAAAAAAAAAAATAGCAAAGTGTGTCTGTATTTAGCAAGTCACTTGACAAGTCTCGGTCTCACAGCAACATAAGAAATGTGAGTTGAATTAAAGCAATTAGCAGGACTTAGATATTGTTTACTACGTCAAGGAATACTGATTAATGAAACAGTGTCACCCTAGTGGAAGATTCCTAGACACATACCAATAGGCCCCCTTCTGATCAGTATTTACATCAATTGAAATGATGCACAGAAGGCGTGCTCATCTGGTTTGCTGATGACACCAAGGTGAGGGACTCTGCAAAAGTGTGGTTTGACACAATTTTTAAGTAATCTGTGTAGCACCCCCATTGGAAGGAGAGTGGCAGAGCATTTGAACAGGGGCAGCTACTCTCTAGTTCTCCACCAGCATCCCTGATGTTCCCCTCCTCTGCCCTCCTCAAGTCCTGCTTCCTTTCCCTTATTTTAGGCTACAGCCTGCATCACGGCCTATGGACAAATTGCCACTTGGAATGGGTTTGCTGTAATTCCGCATTACTGATGATGGTGACCTTTGGTGTTCTTGCTTCCTTCTGAATACTGAACAGCCCGCCCCCCTCACCCCATTACCCAGGTGGATAAAAACCAAACAGCTAAAGCAAAATATCGAATTCTCCACCTTCTCGTGAGCTTTTTGAAATCACTCTATTACAGTTCTTTGGTAAGTAGCATTGTGTTCCCACATCATCATCCTCTGAACATATTAATATTTAATGTTTGGTCGATTTAAATGCATAGAGTGGCAGCAACGTGCACATATAAATTTCTAGTAGTTACCATTTAAAAATAGAGGGATGACTCACCAGGCTTTCCTTTTCTTGTAAACACCGCGTGGTGCAAAACACTTGAACCCTGTGTGTTTTCAAAGTCTCTGACTTCCAAATGTACCTGCCTGATACGGGCAGTTTATCGGCTAAAGCCGCCTAACGTTGGAGGGAGATTAAGCCTTGCAACCCGACGCGCAGCCGTGCATTTCCTGCGGCCAGGTGGAAGGAAGCCTCCTTGGCTTCGGGCTGGGGATGCGCCCTCTGCTGGCACCAGGCCTGCTCCGCCGGCCTTCGGGGCTTCTGCATCCACAGCTGGAGTTGGAGGGAGCCCAAGTGGAATATAAATGAACGAGAGAGGCAGCAGTTAATGAGTTCCGGAAATTCTGCCATTTCTCTAGCGGAGGTCAGCATCTATAATAGGGTTCTTTCCGCCTGCCCTCTCCGCCTGACCCGAATCCCGCGCCATTAGGAGAATCACGTGGAGTCCCCACGTGGACTGCAGAGAAATTTGTGCTCGCTCGAATTGGCTTTTCGCTGGGTTTGACTTTGACTTGAGGGGGCAGAGCATCGAAGCTACCTTTAACGAACAGCATCATTTATTAATGCTTCTCCGTGCCTAAAGCCATCCGTTTGTTATACTGCCTGGGAACACGGCCGTTGAGCTCATTTCTAAAGAAAAAAAGAGGAGGCCACTGGAAAATGTTTCTTCCCGGACAGACATGCTGATGAAAAGTTGCTTGGTGCACGTCCAGATTTCTGTCTTTTGCAGAATTTTTAATCTTGTTTCTCTTGGATGAGCCCCCACTTCTCTGGGTTTGACCACTGATATATGCACCGGGGTTATTCTATGCCGAAACTATAGATTTTGTTTGAGAGGGGCAGACACTGTACCTGGAAACACTGGCTAGGGAAACAACGGTATTGTTTTATTAACTCCCTAAGCACAGTTCCTATTCTTTACAGCTTTCTTGAGAAATTGTACTAATAATAAAACACGTTTTCAGTGAGCAATTATAGTTCACAGAGCTTTCCTTGCTTTGCTGAAAAGGTATTACCTTCGAAAGGATGCCAAAAAGCAAAGCTGTGCATTCAAATAGGGAAGGGGAGTTGTGTGTTTTAGAAATACCTAAATCACTCTTGTAATTTGCAATGCCAAAGAGAGAGTAAATGTCCTCATGTAAAATTCAAAAGAAATACTGGGACAATATCTCCCATAGCAACAGCTGTTTCTGAAGTTCCAGCATGATTAACAAGCGTCTGTTTCATCTTTTCCTTTGTTTAAAATCAGACCACAGCCTGCTCAATCTGCAGGTCAAAATAGTACTAAGACTTGACAAAAGAAAAATGTGATTACTATGGATTTTTTTGTTTTTATTTTCCTGGTGCGTTCAGTTATTCGCCATATTGTTCACCTGCTTTTAATTAATTACTAGCTAACCATGATTAAGAAGCTGGCTGTTTTAAAGCATCAGAAACTATTAGTAAAATCAAGATACTCTATCTTCATTAACATTTATATCGATTAAGTGATCAGGATACATTTCAGTGTAGTAATAGCTGCTAGAACTTACTGTCAATTGGCAATGTCATCAAGACGTTTGACTCCTGAGTATTCAATGGGGCATATTTCACACCTTGGGTCTCCCAGATAGCATACTCGGAGATGGAGGTTTGCGTGGGAAAGCCCTTGGAATCAACACCTGTGGAAGAAAGAGTAGATAGCAGAGAAGTTGAGCTGCACTGCAATCCTAGTGCCCCTAGCAGCCTCAGGTGGCCCTACAGGGAGCTGTGGAGTTGGAAAGCCCCTCAGAGACCACTGGGCCTTCATACTGTATGTTGATCGGCCATTGGATGTGGGCTGCTCAGGGCAGGGAATCCAACCTGATCCCAAAGAGGGCTGATAGCTGATGACCTTCTTCTAACGGCACTCCCACCACTAAGAGAATAATTTCTGTAATCCAGAAGAGGGATCGGGGGGGAAAGGGGTTGCATCACATAGCCTACCATAGTATATATGCATAAAATGCGACACTCAGGGCACCTAGGTGGCTCAGTTGGTTAAGCAACTGCCTTCGGCTTGGGTCATGTTCCCAGGGTCCTGGGATCGAGCCCCACATCAGGCTCCTTGCTCTGCGGGAGCCTGCTTCTCCCTCTCCCTCTACCTGCTGCTCTCCCTGCTTGTGCTCTCTCTCTTTCTGTCAAATAAATAAATAAAAATTCTTTAAAAAAAATAAAAAAATAAAATGCAACACTCATCATCTTTTCAATAAGAGACATGGAAATGAGAGAATATAACATCTAACCTAAGCCAAGTCAATCAGTATTATACAAAAATGACTAAACATTTTTGGGCTGGGAATAAAGCATCAGCTCAGAGTCACAGTATCTACTAGTTCTTTAATATATCTGGAAAAAAGACAAATTTAAATGTATTGAATTCTCATTAAAAATAAATGAAATAACCACTTCTGAGAAGAAAAAGATATCAAAACATAATTACTCAAAGCATATGGAAATTAAAATATTTCCCTATGTCAGTTTCTAAAGTAAACTCCCATGTGGAGGTATTTCAATTATCCAGCATCCACATGTGTTATAAATGTGCTTAACTAGATAAATGTACCTTCTATAAATGTCCTGTATAAATGCAAATGCCAGCTATATTAATTGTCATTTTAGAGTCCACCTTTGATTATAGTGTGTGGGCTTAAAATACAATTTGTATGCACAAACATTCTGTCTCATTTATGAATATTTATAGACAGCATTATTTAATAATTAGTTGTGCCTTTATTTGATAGCAATAAAATGTAAATGATCAATAACACTGGGAGTTAAAATACAGATTTTTTTTCCTATAAAGAAGCATTTCATAAAATCTAGGCATAAAACAATCCAATTAAAAATGGGCAGAGGAAGATGCCTGGATGGCTCAGTCAGTTAAGCATCTGCCTTTGGGTCAGGTCATGATCCTAGGGTCCTGGGATCGAGTCCCACATCAGGCTCCTTGCTCAGCGGGGAGCCTGCTTCTCCCTCTGCCTACCACTTCCCCTGCTTGTGCTCTCTCTCTCTCTCCTGCAAATAATTTTTTTTTTAAAAAAGCTTTTAAAAATTAAAAAAATAAAAACTGGACAGAGGATCTGAACAGACATTTTTCCAAAGCAGACATACAAATGGCCAACAGGTATATGAAGAGGTACTCAACATCACTATTCATCAGGGAAATTCAGATCAAAACCACAATAAGATATCATCTACTCCTGTTAGGATGGTTATCATCAAAAAGACAAGAAACAACAAGAATTATCGAGGATATAGAGAAAAGGGAACTCGTGTGCCCTGTTGGTGGGAACATAAGTTGGTGCAGCCACTGTGGAAAACAGTATGGAGATGCCTCAAAAAATTAAAAATAAAATTATCATCTGATCTAGCAATTCCACTTCTGGGTATTTATCTGAACAAAATGAAAATGCTAACTTGAAAAGATATATGTATTCCCATGTTCACTGCAGCATTATTTACAATAGCCAAGATATGGAAAAACATAAATGTCCATTGGTAAGTGAATGGATAATGACGATGTGAGATACCTAGTAGTGCAATTGCTGGGTCATAGGGTAGCTCTATTTTTAACTTTTTGAGGAACCTCCATACTGTTCTCTGGTTGGCTGCACCAGCTTGCATTCCCACCCACAGTGTAAGAGGGTTCCCCTTTCTCTGCATCCTCACCAACATCTGTTTTTTCTGACTTGTTAATTTTAGCCATTCTGACTGGTGTGAGGGGAAATATATATGTGAGATATATAAAATGGAATATTATTCAGCTATAAAAAGGAGGTAATCTTGCCATTTGCAAAAACATGGATGGATCTTGAGGGCATTATGCTGAGCGACATAAGTCAGCCAGAGAAAGGAAAGACAAATACTGTATGATCTCACTTATATGTGGAAACAAAAAACAAACCAGCTCATAGATACAGAGAATAGAGTGGTTGGCAGAAGTGGGAGGGGAGGAGCAAAATGGATGATGGTGGTCAAAAGGTATAAAGTTCCAGTTATAGGGGCGCCTAGGTGGCTCAGTAGGTTAAGCCTCTGCCTTCATCTCAGGTCATGATCCCGGAGTTCTGGGATCAAGCCCTGCATCCTGCTCACGGGAGAGAGCCTGCTTCTCCCTCTCCCTTTGCCCCTCCCCCTGCTCATGCTCTCTGTCTTACTCGCTCTCTATCTCTATCTCAAATGAATACATAAAATCTTTTTTTAAAAATTAAAGAATAAAAAATAAATAAAGTTCCAGTTATAAAATAAATAAGTCATGGGAATGTAATGTACAGCATGGTGACTATAGTTAATAACACTGTATTGCATATTTGAAAGTTGCTAAGATAGTAAATCTTAAAAGTTCTCATAACAGAGAAAAACTTTTTGTAACTATGGATCGTGATGGATGTTAACTAGACTTATTGTGGTGATCATTTTGCAATATACACAAATATTAAATCATTATGTTGTATACTTGAAGCTAATATAACATCGTATGTCAATTTACCTCAATAAAAAACAAGCTAAGAATAATATATTGAGTCACTACATACTCAAATGAATCAGTCATCATTTATGTGATATAATTAAGAATGTATATATACGTTCTTGAAATTGAAAAGCTGGTCATATGTAAGTAGAATATAAATTGCATTGCAAGATAAAGAAGACATGAAGAAAATGTGTAACTGTCTTTTGTAAGTTCTAGGAGGCCAAAGCAGGATCTGCATCTGTTCTACTCACCACTGAATCCCTGGGCCTTAACAAGGATCGGGCACCTAGCAGGTCCCCTCAGTAAAGATTTGGTGAATGTTGAAAGGATTATAAATCTCAGTTCAAAAAAAAAAAAAAAGGTGAATTTATTTCCCTTTCCAAGAATGAAGGAAGCTGGGCATTGATTGTTCTCAAGTTTAGATAAAAAATAAGCAATTGAATATAAATAATTTTAAATGACAAATTTGAACTTACATATTCAGGTTGGTGTAGTCTTTTTTTTCTGTATAGTTTCACATACTGGGATGGATTCTCCTTTCCCTTAAAAATTAAAGATTTATTTCCATTTCAAGAATATCAAAATGAAGTCCAATTGCAATTTTTATAGCATGTTATCTAGTGAACATACTAGACAGCAAGCACTAAATGTCTTGGAGAAAGAGGTGTTAAAATTTTGTCAGCAGGTTTAACAAAAACAACATCTAGAAGTTTTACATATTTTCTCTACACCTGTTCGCTCCTAAATTTCCCAGAATGTTCCTAGAACCCAAATGAATCTCTCCAAAAATAAGTAGGAAAAATTTGAAGGAAAAAATATAGAATGTATATACAAACAGAATTGCCAAAGGCCAGCCATGTTATTACAAAGCACCAAGATAAACACAGAATGAACATGACCCTAAAAAGTTGCAAATGAGTATGTTTTGCCGATTTGGAAGTACCAAAATCCAACCACCCCCTGGTCTTCGGTACTTATAGTTACTACTCTTTTCTCTAGAAATAGAAACATAGCCACTCTATATTTATGTTCTATTAGTGGTTGAGTTTTGGAAGTCATGCCAAGAGGATTCCAGAAATGAAAAAAAAAAAAGATTTTGTATGAATCATCTGTTATAATCCTCCATAAATCTACATCATTACCAAAATATGACCAAAATTGCTATATAAATACCAAAGAATTGGAACAGAGGAGAGGAAGGGAGTATTATTTCAGAATTCAGTTAGTTCTAATATGGAAGGAAAGCCACATTCATCTGGGAGTCCATGAAAAGTTCTTTTGTTGTTTTTGATGTTTTACTTGTTGTTATTGTTCTTTTTAATGATACGCTCACTTGAGCATGAGGCTGATTCAGGAAAAGATCCACGGCACAGATTTGCACCCCGTATTGTGACCACATCATTGTGTCGTGATGTACTCTGTCTTTCCCCTAACCCCTGCATTTCAAGGCTTAATTTAAAATGGTCTTGGGGCACCTGGGTGGTTCAGTCGGTTAAGCATCTGCCTTCAGCTCAGGTCACGATCGCAGGGTCCTGGGATCGAGTCCTGCATCAGGCTCCCTGCTCAGTGGGGAGCGTGCTTCTCTCTCTCCCTCTGCTGCTCTCCCTGCTTATACTCTCTGTCTCTGTCAAATAAATAAATGAAATCTTTTTAAAAAATGAAATAAAATAAAATGAAATTATCTTAATACTTTTAGAATATATTCATTTCAATCAAAATCCTCAAAAGAATAGCTTTCCATTAATTTGTAATATACTTTGGCCTCATTTTCCTCCAGAAACTTTTCAGCCAAATTATATACTCATTACTAAAGTTTTGGATACAAATAAACATCTCATTTCTTTGAGTTTAAACATAGCTGAAAGTCACTTGGAAAAAGATATAATTTGACATTTTTTCTAACATTTTACTTCTAGTTTTATTAGTTTCAAAGGTTTTACTGAAAAACACTTTTAGAAAAAAAGTACTCTAAATATTCAGAGAGTGATATTTTATATCATCCCCATTAACTTGTTACTCAGTACTTAGGTCATCTCCTAAAAACCTAACACTGCACCCACACCCCCACACACACACCCTATCATAGCACTGGTACCTGTCAGGAGCCTGGCAAATGCTACATCAGAATGTAGGGGCAATTCCTTCTAGTAGCATGGATTAAAACCAACCGATGGGGCCTCAGTGGGAAAGAAAGTTATTTTTTTAACTGATCATCTCAATGGGTCACTCTGAAATTACTTTCTGAGGGACAAGCATTCAAACACATTTCACTAGCTCAATTCTAAGACTAGAACAATGTTAGTGAAATGGGATCAAACCACATATGAAGAATGGTTTTGCAATAGAGTATAATAAGATTGAAAATCATAGGCAAAATAAAAAGTTCTGAGCACCTTTGCATGCATAAATTCTGCCATGACCTCTATTTTAGAGATGGTAAAATTAAAGCTTAAATGAGTTAGTTAATAAATTGTCCATGAGCCCACTGCTTATAAATAGTAGCCTCAATTCAAATCAGGCTGTCTGACTCTAGAGCCCACATTCTTGTATGGTGATTATATAACAGAGAGAATAACACACATATGTGTACTGTCAACCATTTTTATTCAATGGTATTTACATTATTCTGGGATTTAAAAAAATAATAATAAATGAAACTGTCTTTTCATTGGCACATGCAATTTTATAGAAAGCAGACATTACAAATATGTGGAACAGTTAAATAATATGAAGCACTGTATGATTAATGTCTATGTTAGGTATTATGGACAAAGAACTACACAGCGGTCAAAAAACAGAGCAGTAATGTGGACTGGAATAGTTATAAAAAAGCTTCACAAAGACAATGGACTTGAACTGGATCCTGAAATTGAATGAGAATTGGACAGTTATAGTTGAGATAGGAGGATATTCCTACCTGGAAGAAAATTACCCGAATAGCTTTGGCACATTAAATAAAATTACATGAACCACCTTAGTTGCATAAAGCACAGAGAGCACATAAAGTTGTATAGCACCATACGGAGGTGATTAACATCCATTAGAGTTAAGGTTATTTTGAATAACACAAATAGCTAACTAAAATAATTTTAAATATTGTACAATTTGGGGTGCCTGGGTGGCTCAGTCACATTCCACTCTTGATTTCAGCTCAGTTCATGATCTCAGGGTCATGAGATAGAGCCCCATGTAGGGCTTTATGCTCAGCAGGGAGTCTGCTTGAGATTCTCTTTCTCCCTCTCCCCCTGCCCCTCCCCCCACTTGCATGCTCTCTCTCTCTCTCTAAAATAAATAAATAAATCTTTTTAAAAAATAAAAAATAAATCAATACTGTATGATTCTGTGTATATGAAGTTCAGAAACCAGCAAATTTAATCTACTGAAGTAGGTATCAGATTAGGTGTCTACCTTTAGGCAAAAGGATACTGACTGGGAAAGGACCCAAGGGAACTTTCTCAGGTGCTGGAAATAGTCTGTCTTGATTTGGATGGTGATTACCGATGCATATAAAAAGTCACTGAGGGGCGCCTGGGTGGCTCAGTCGTTAAGCGTCTGCCTTCGGCTCAGGTCATGATCCCAGGGTCCTGGGATCGAGTCCCACATCGGGCTCCCTGCTCGGCAGGAGGCCTGCTTCTCCCTCTCCCATTCCCCCTGCTTGTGTTACTGCTCTCGCTATCTCTCTCTCTGTCAAATAAATAAATAAAATCTTTAAAAAAAAAAAAAAGTCACTGAGCTCTACATGTAAGAACTGTACACATACAAACTGACTACTTGTGAGTTACACCCCATTCAATAAATGAATAAGGGTTAGTGTTTGTGATAGGATCAAGGTTTTTTAGAGTAATGTGTATTTAGCATTAAAAAAAAAATCTTTCAAGGTAACCTACCTCTACTCTGTCCTTCACAGATGAGGGAACTGGCATCAGATAATACAGAGATTTGCCCTAGGGCACGCAGATGTTCAGGGGCTGAGATGCGTAACTGTTACATGTTTTCCATGCTTTGGTCATACCTCCAAAATATATTTCATGTGCCACATATTCCTAAAAAGAAGATCCAAATATACCACTGAATTCTTAGTGATATTTACCAGTTTCCTAATTTTTTCTCATGTTGATCACATTTATTTTTCCTCTTTATTCTTGGCATCTCTAGACTAAACATTCCAATCTTTTCTTTCATACCTATAATCAGGAAACCATATTTTCCCTAGAGGTGTACTTTCACATGTACTAATTTAATCTCAACCATTTTGTAAAAATTCAAGAACTGTACCTATTCAAACTTCAAAGAGATTCCTTCCATTCCCCTGAAAGACCTTTTACCTGAGTCATTTTATATTTATCATATCGCAATATTTTAATTCTCATAATCTTTGCTCTTTTGCTCTATAAAGAAGGAGATAATGTAGATATTAATATGGACGGCTTTGCTTTAGGTAGATGTGTCCTCTCTGATTTTTTTTCACCTAATTTACCTGCCACTGGTCTTTCCCTGAAAAGCAGTTCAGAGGTATTTCCCATCCTGCTCCCTACCAACACCTTCTCTCTATTCTCAAGTACTTCTGAGACCTTGACAGTAAAACTGGCCTGTGAAAAAACTGCTAAGTGTTTTTTATTCAATTGTTTTTCCATCCAAATAGGATAGATTGTTTCTCAGTTCAAAACTGCATTCTCTGAATTCTCTACATAATGCCCAAGTGTCTTTCTTTGCTTTTTATAGGGGTCTTAATTCTACCCAGATACATTTTTATAGAAAAACTTTAAACAAGTCTACATGTCATGATACAAGTGAATTACCTGCAGAACAATCCTATGGCAGATTCATAAACTACTGTAAAATGATCCAAGTACAAATATTTCAGAGATAACTTGATGGAAGGTATCTTCACAGATGACTGCAATCCAAGTTTCTGGTTTTTACAAGGTCTATTATTTTACCTGTAATTGGAAACATTGCAATCTGGTAAAAACCATTCCAGTAATCTTCAGAAGAATAATTTATGGTCAAATGCAGCAGGTTCCAGAACATTGTTAATTTGGTTCATATTCTTCTGTGTTGACATGACAATTCACATGACCGCAAATTCAGAGACTTCTCGGTGAGCTGTGCCAGACTCCTTCCATCTGACCCTTCAGATTCACTTTCCACCCTAATCCACCCTATTCTGTGTCCCAGGAGGCTGATTTTAATGGACTGTATCAAAGAGCTCCCTGTTTGCTGCCTTCCCACTGTGTCAGTCAGTGGAACACCAGTAGGATAGTGGAGAATGAAGTCTAGGCACTTATCTCCTGGATCCTTCAGAGGAGGATCTACCCACCTTAGAGAATCCCTTGAATGAAGGTCACTTTCTTATTAGGTTGCCCTTTCTACTCAGTCTGCTGTGTCCTAGATTACCTATGTGGTTTCCTTGTACCCTCCCCACATCTTTTTAAATGACCCCTTTATTACACTCTCTTGAAATTACCCAATTTGACTGTGCCATCTGTTTTGTACAGGGACCTTGACTGATCATTGAGTTTCTTTTTTTTTTTCTTTATGGTACTTTTTAAATTTTATTTTATTATGTTATGTTGGTCACCATAGAGCACATGATTAGTTTCCGATGTAGTGTTCCATGATTCACTGTGGGTGTATAACACCCAGTGCTCCATGCAGTACATGCCCTCTTTAATACCCATCACCGGGCTAACCCATCCCCCTACCCCCCTCCCCTCTAGAACCCTCAGTTTGTTTCTCAGAGTCCATAGTCTCTCATGGTTCGTCTCCCCCTTTGATTCCACCCCCCTTCATTTTTCCCTTCCTACTATTTTTTTTTAACATATACTGTATTATTTGTTTCAGAGGTACAGGTCGGTGATTCATCAGTCTTACACAGTTCACAGCGTTCACCATAGCACATACCCTCCCCAATGTCCATCACCCAGCCACCCCATCCCTCCCACCCCCACCACTCCAGCAACCCTCAGTTTGTTTCCTGAGTTAAGAATTCCTCATATCAGTGAAGTCATATGATACTTGTCTTTCTCTGATTGACTTATTTCGCTTAGCATAATACCCTCTAGTTCCATCCATGTCGTTGCAAATGGCAAGATTTCAGGGGGTTTTTTTGATGGCTGCATAATATTCCATTGTATATATACACCACATCTTCTTTATCCATTCATCTGTTGACGGACATCTTGGCTCTTTCCATAGTTTGGCTGTTGTGGACATTGCTGCTATAAAAATTGGGGAGCACTTCTCCCTTCAGATCACTACATTTGTATCTTTGGGGTAAATACCCAGTAGTGCAATTGCTGGGTGGTAGGATAGCTCCATTGAGTTTCACTGAGAAAGTAAGGGTCACTTTGGAAATCTGGCCCATCTTAAAAGAAGAAACATTTGGTTTGCACCACCACCGCCACCCTCCTCAAGCTCCAAGAAAGCACAATTGTGCATTAAGTGAGTACCAGGCTGTTGCATCAACAAGATTGTCAATCCCAACCCTCTGTCCAAAATCTCTTGATGGTACCTCTAATACAAACTGGAGCGTTGTAGCTACATCAACAAAGTAACTGTGATATATTGTAAGCTTGTTTGTATCTCTGTTTTA